TTTAAAGATGCAACTCTGATAACTTCCTCTTCTGGGTGTTCAGAAATATCTTTCGAATAAAACAACTAACACAAAGAGCCGCTTTAATTGCTCAATTTTATAGAAGAGATTTGAAAAGGAGGAGGAAAAGTAAGGCAGCTTTTCTGCCTTACTTTTTATTTTAAGCTAATTTTATTATCACTATTGTTTCCCTTGTGTTTCTAAATGAAAAGCGGAATGACAGTTTTAGATTAAAAAGCTCTTTTGAATGTTTTATGTATTAAGTTGAGTGCCTCTCTGCCCAGGTATGAAATTCGGGACCCACATCTGGTTGAGGAAAGTGTTCTGAAGATCTTGAAGGAGAAGACGGACTTTGCCGACTACAGGCCCAGACCCTTCAACATGCGTGAATTCTACGAGCGAACGGGCCATGATATTAAGGAAATGCTGCTGTCCTGCTCCTACAGAGGGACGGAGTGCAGCGCTGAACACTTCAAAGTGGTGAGTCTTAATACTGCAAAAACACAAAATATTACCAAGGATTTCTGACTGTTTTCTAGTGCAAATATCTCAGTACACTTGAATTAAGACAAAACTAACTTAAAATGAACTTTTTAGCAAGACATAGGAGCTTGTTTAGAGTCAATAAATGCTTAAATTTGATTTAAAAAATACTAGTTCCTCTGGCAGATTATTTCACTTATATGAAAAATGTCTTGTTATAAGTGAATTTATCTGCAGGTGGAACTAGTATTCTTTCATCAATATTAAGGCATTATTTGCAAGAGAAACTATTCAGAAATACTTGATAAGATTTTATGTTTTTGCAGTCAGCAGAGTGGTTTTATGAGCATGTTTGTAACACATGGTTGGTATTGCTGCTCTTTTTCTTTTGGGGTGTTTTTTGTTATTTTTGATTTGTGGAACAATCCTTACTTTTTCTTGCATATATACTGCACATATTTTAATGACATGAAATGCTAGGTTTCAAAAATTTTTGACAAACATTTAACGAAAAGTGAGTGACAGAAAGACACACCACTAGATATGCAGCAGTCTCTTATGTCTTGTGTATTTGCAACCGTTAAATAAAAGTTATCCAACTCCTTCAGAAGAGCTAAAAAGGATTATAATGTGTTTTTAAAAAATTGTTTAATCTTCTTCAGTAAAAGCTGTGACGTTTTGCTTTGGCTCCATTTGGTTTGGTTTACAGCATCAGGAATTTAGTCATTTCTTCTGTCATTGCTCAGCAGTTGTAATAAAATGCCTCATAGGGCTTGTTGGACAAGGGCTGCTTATTGCTATTGATGCAGGACTGATAAGTGCATTGATTCTCAATTAGACTTTAAATTCTGTGCAACAGAGTATTGGAGGAGGCTGATATTTCTTTGCACATTTGTGGCATGTCATTAATGACATCTTTAAAAGTATGCTGAATAGATGATTTTAATTTTCTTAACCAGTCATTTAGTAGTTTTTTTTAATACCACTAAGTCACAGCAGAAAATCATCTCAGCAAAGCTCAAGTAAAATTAAACTTTTGAAAATACAGCCTTGATAGAACTCCTTTGGTTGACTCTTTATATTCGTTTTTTATCTTTGTAGAACACATTTTTTGATCTAAAAGGCAGAGATGTGTAATACCAAAACAAAATGTGGCGTAATGTTTCACTGCTACGGTGTTTAGTTTGATTAGAAGCAGGTCGGTAACATGAGCGTCCCTCAGAGTCCGTCAGAAGTAAGCATGAGGCGTTTTAACATCAAGTGAAAAATACTGAGTGTAAATAAAACATTAAAACTCATCATGATTTCACTGGAAAACTGTGAACATTTCATCAAACTGTCGAGATATATTTGTGTATCTCTGTCCTGTCTACATGTTGGCATTGATTTACTCTTCTGTACATGTTAAATACTTCTCTTTAAATGTTTATAGTTTTCATAATTATGGTTATTTCCATAAATATTTCTGCAGCACATCTGTTTTCACATTAACATGAATGTATTTTAAACAAATGCTCAAACAGATTTTTAGTGAAGATCAGTGATGTCTTACCATTTCTGCATCTTATGAGAAAAATCAAAGTAATATATTTTTGGAAATCTGTCCCTGTGTGCCCTTCATAGTTTCTTAAGGGTGAAACGTCTCATGATCCCTCTGCCCCATTCCTATAAAAGCATGTAGTACAGCAATACCCACATCATTTGGCTCCTCTAATCTGCTGATGTGTCCACATTAAGTCTAGGTAGTTGTGTTTATGGCAGATGGTGCATAATATGGCTGTACTGTATTAGTGCAGTAGAGGAAATGGATGAACAGCTCAGCAGAAAGTAACTAATGGTCTGGAAAGAATCTCCAGTGTGATATAAAGTGTGACAAAAAGAAATGATAACAGCAAACCTCCACTGTGTGGAGCTTCTGCAGGTTTCTTCTCAGCGTCTATGATGTGTTTTGCTAACGGACATCGATATGTTATGCTGCTTCATCAGAAGCAGAAAATGGGAATAAAGTTGATTTAACTTAACAAATTACCAAAAAGCTTGATTTTAGATGATATTTGCTTTTATTTTCACTACAACATAACCACACCAGGAGTACTGTATCACCATATGTGGCTGGGTGTTTAAATGTAATATAAACTTGTATGCTTAATAACTTTGATTCATATATTTTACAGTCTCAACAACAGCAGAAGTTGATGCTAACATACCAGGGAGTCAAAGTTGCACAAAAGACTCTAAGTATTTGTTTACAGTTCGGTGGATGGGAAACAGAAGGACTCATTATTTATTAAATCAAAACCAGCAGCGCTGCTGCGGCAGAGGCGTTCGTGTTTAAACCTCAAAAAATGCCAACCAAAGGTCAAAGCATACCATGGAGGATAAGGGTTATTATAAATAAAAGAAAAAATATATATATCCATGAAGGAGCACACTTCTGCCAAAAAAATCCTCCAAAATTTAGATTAATTTTATATATTAACAAGTAAAACTCAGATATTTTATGATGTCTGAAAGACATAAAGTTGCAAGACAAGAAGGATAGTTTTGGATGATTAAAGGTGTAAATTTACGACATTCATTCATGGTGATTCTGCACCTGGGGAATGTCGCTCTGACCCAGGAAACGAGCCCAGATGAACCACTTACATGTTGGAAAATATCCAGATCCTACATTTAGCAGCTCAGTCCTTGAGAACATTTGGCTTTTTCTTTTTGGTAGCAAATATTTGACTTTACATTTTTAGAGAAGATCTTACTTTTAACATTGTAACTTCATGCTTTTAATCATTGGAAGTTATATTTTATTTTGGTAAATTTACCACTTTCCAACATCAGAGAATATTCAGACTTTCTCTTGTAAATATAGAAAGTTAGCGTAGAAATTTCTGAGGTTTTTGGGAGAAATCTACTCCATCATGACTGCATTGATTTTTGCTTTGATTCACAGTAGCTTTGATACTCCTTTGTAGGGACAGATCAAAAACCTGGAACTAAATAAGTTCACAAGACAACATGTGTGATGGTGAGAAAATACAACCAAATGTGAGGAGAGTTAAAAATTAAAATCCACTGAAAGAAACAAAAGTAAGAAGATACTGTATATATAGTGGTGGGCACCACTAACTGAAAGGTTAGTTGCACTTAAACCATTAATCATGAACATTTGTTCTGCTAAAGCTAAGGTGCTACATCAGCATGGATTTTAGTGGAAACTAATGCTAAAGCATCACCTTCTATTCAAATTATGTCTGCCATTGAAATACTACAACCCTAAAACATAATTTTATTTATTTTACATAATTTACATGTTCTATATTGACCTTGGAGATCTTCTTATATTTTCTCCATGTTTCATTTTGCTGCTGTATGTTTCTTGTTTGAAATAGTTATCAGGTGAAATGTAGAGAGAGAACACAAACAGCCTTTCACTCTCTTCAAAATCAAAGCATGAACATAAACATCTTGCTACTTGAAGAATATTTAGCCGTCAATTACCAAAAACTTAAACACAGATGTTGAAAGTTATTCAAGCAAAAGCTTAAAAAAAGCAGTTGAGGAAATTAGTGCTTTAGAATTTATCCAGAGAAATTAATTTATGGGAAGCTAAGTGTGCTACCTTTTCAAAGTTAACTAAAGTGCTAAATGATAAATTAGCTCTGCCATTAGCGCCTTAGTGGATTAGTATGTACAGAACACAGAGGGCAGACACTAGAAACTGAATAACTGACATAAGCTTCATAAAAGATAGAAAAGTGTGTGATCGAAACGCATCATGATTTCAGTGTCTATGGCTTTATTTCTATCTGAGTGACATGTGAACTGTCGCAAAGTCAGCTGTACAATCTTGAGCCCTGGGGAGCCTGCTGCAGATAATATTCCTGAAAGTGTTTTTCCACTTTGAACACTCAAAGGCAACAGCGACAGACCTCAGTCTGCAGCGAAAACTCTAACTTTGTGAGGCTCACCCTGCGGGTGCTAGCAGAGAGTCCAAGGGAAAGACAGATGACCATGAGAGAAAGGAATAGAGGAAGAAGAGCAGATATACAGAGACTGAAGCCTAGGTAACAACAAAGACTTGGGATATAACTGAACATAATGGTCAAGTGCTCCAAAGAGACACAAAATAACAGCTGCCACAACAGCAGAACAAAGAAGTACTATCGGTGGACACCCAGCTTTGTGCTCATTTAACCACGGAGCTCCTGTGTATCTCCCTTCTCCAGCTGCCTTCTAGTTTTCCCTTAACACAATGCTGTGAGGCATGTCTCTCCTTTCCACTCATTTATTTAAAAAAATAAATGATTTGTTAGCTTCTCCGCTAACAAATCAAGGTAGAGAAAATTATTTTAAAAATGGGTTGCAGTGATGTTTGGCTGCACTGAACAGATTAGAAAACATACAGAAATAAGTCTTTGACACACATTATAATCCATCTATCAGTTTGATATATCTGTGTAGTGGTATTATTTTTACTATAGGCAACAAAGGTTTCTTTTTCGTTATTGGCGTCATTTGTCCTTCTCCATTTGTAGAAGTGCCAGACAGGACAAAAGCTGCAACCTTGACAGATTTGAAGATGATCTCATCTCTGACGATGATCACAGTTTACAATAATTTTTACTGATGTCACTAGTTATTTTATCCATTTTAAAACTGAACAGAAGTGACAAAAGAAAACCAATTCAATCATGTGCTGATTTACAAAACATACAAAAACAGTTTTTTAATGTTTTTCTACATATCCAACAGAAACAAACAAAAATTTAAATTTCTTTAGCTTTTTTGTCATTTTTGTAATTTTTTCAGGATATCTGGGTCTTATTAAGTTATTCTATTAATACAAATACTATTTTATTATTATATATATTTTATTCTAAAGACATGAAACAAAAGAAAGCGGCAGTTTTACCAAATTCTCTGCCAAATCTGAGCACTGAGACTTGTTACAGTAATCAGGAACAGGCACATTTTTCTCTTTTGACCTAAAGAAATCCATC